ATCAGGTCAAAATCCTTTCCATGCCCACCCCCGTGACATCACGCTCCAAAGCCCTATTGGTCTTTCCAAGCATCTTAGATTTCCGTCTTCTCACTCACCTGTCCCTCTTCTCGCCTATCTCATAATCTAAATCAATCCAGCTGTTATGTCAGAGTAAACACTAATATTTTTATAGTTAGGGTAAATTTGAGGCTGATTTTTTTTTTTTTTTTTTTTGCATCTTGCATGTTCTCTCCAGGTACTTAGGATTCCACCAACAGTGAAAAACACAGATTGTGAAAATTTTTTTTTTTTTTTAATAGTTTGCATCTTTTTTTTTCCTTTTCTTTTTTTTAACCTTTTACCTTATGTTTATATTTTATTGTGTTGTGCTTATATTTTACTGCCACTACTATTGTTCTTGCGCTATTGTAAAGTGACCTTGAGGGTCTTAAAGGCGCCTATAAATAAAATGTATTATTAGTAGTATTGCAAATTCTTGCACAAATAACACAAACAATTAAGCAGCGTATATAAGCATGCATTTCGTAATTTTTATTAATTAATCAATGGCTAATGATTTATAGAACCTAACTGGAAGCTATGTTTTAATATTTAAGTCCGTGTCTCTTTATAATAATAAAAGCTAAAATAATTAAGTTTCATAACCCCACATATCTTCAAATGTCTTACTAAAATAAACTCATTTTGAAATGTTTTCAGCAAATTGCAGGTGAGTCAAATCTCTGACGTGATGATTTTGTGATTTTATAGACATGTGTATCTATTATGTATACAGTGTAACACTGATGAAGTGCCAATGAATCAACACAGGCTAGGTATTGAGTGAGATATTATGGTTATTATTATTATTATTATGATGATTTAGGAATGCTACTGGAGCTGATGGGCAGTAATTAATAAATACACACAACACAAAATGTTTTTGCAGGTACCATGTATTTAACCGAACCCCAAAGAAAAATAACAAGAAAAGGAAAACTTAAATAATCACTCCTGCTGCAGCTATTCAATTAATCAAAAACCCAGTGGGGGTGCACAAAGACAACTAAGCAAATTCTCCTGGCTTATACCAAGCAATATAGAAAACAGTTCCCCATAAACAACACATGTTAACATCAAAAACACTGATCCACACTGAAGTCCATGAGTTTTATCTGAATGTCCATGAGAGATGTCCAAGCGCTGTTGTCCATAAATGGGGGGATGGTGTGTATGTGTGGAAATCAGTGTATATGGAAAATGGGGACAGAGCGTCATCTTTGATTGCTTCCTACCCAACCAGTGGAAGCTTCAATGCAGAATGAGTCCTGCTCCCAGCCGTTCACTGGCTCGCCATCCTTCTCCATACCAAACAGGTTCACCTGGCCTGCATTAAATAAACAAGGCCAAAAAGAAATCACAAGAATACACAAATGTCAGCCAATTAAGCTAAAAACATTAAGTTATTCTTGTTCCTGTGTACACAAATAAATAAATAAACAGTATATTTAACCAATAAGGATTTAACTGAAACATTTCAACTGCTATATACAGATTATATAGCTTCACAGCATTTTTTATTCAACGAATATCGGTCAAATCAAAATCAAATTGTTTGGACC